TGCTATTGTGAATGTGTAGTTTAGCTTTAGTATTTAGTACGTGAAGATTTTTTTTTAAATATAATATTTATCAGGGCTTAAAAGTTTTGATAACTCCTGATCTTCTCTTGTCAACAATGTGTGCAATTCTCCTGTTTAAAATAACAGCTTTATCTGTTCTTGGGACTTAAGAAAGCTGAGTATCTAAAACAGTAGTTTGGTAATATTGAATTAGTAGGTTTTAGGTCCGAGGATTTTATGGGGTCTGCTAATCCAAGAGTCATTATTTAGTAAATAATTCTAACTCTTTAATTAAATACAATAATTTGTAAAATGTAAGGGTTGCAAATTAGAAAAAAATAACGGTTTGTTATTGTGCAGGGCATTAATGATTTCTACGATTAAGTAGGTATTTAAATTGAAGTATTTCAGGAAGTACTTTCTGTACACAAGTAGGGGCAGATTGTGCTGGATACATAGCAATTCATTACTGGAAGAAAAGTTCATTCTGTTGTATTTGTTCACTTTTAATCATAAGCTGTTTTACCGGGAATGAATTGTGCTTGGCTATTAGGTCTTGGTATTTAGACAAGAATTCGAGTAAAAGTAACTTTAAATTCAAAATGGCGGAAAACGATACAGACCTAACCGGAAAATGCAGAAAAAAACTCCAAGTGCCTTTATAAGTCACGAACTACATTTCCCATCTTGCAACGCGTCGGGTACATACTTACATCGCCCCGCCCTCTCACAAGCAAACTATAAATAGCAAGCGACGCTCTGTCTAGGCCTTTCTGCTGTTTGCTGACGGCGCCATTTTGTTTGTGAGGCGCTTGATGGTAGTTGGTGCGGTCTTGTTCATCCGTTGCCATCCACCCGTAGCCTTGCCGTCTATTTCTAAGGAGTGACCGCAGGGGCCTCGCCCCACTATGAGAGCTAAGGTAAGTTGTGTCTCGACCCCGAAAATGTAGGTCGGATTTGAGTTTGTGTACTTCACACACTCCTTTCGATGGGTGACCAAGAAGTAAGCAAGGGCCTTCACGCTAGGTGATGGAGGGACGGTTTGAAACAAAAACTGAGAATAACTGATGGAATGGCTGTGGCGGAATAAAGCTTGTTTTGAGCCTCTGTACTAAACTCAGGGTTGAGGCCTCGATTACTTTAAACTAAAGATTTAAAAAAGGGGGGGAGGGAGCGTGTCGTATGTAGCATGGGGGAATGACAGTAAAACAATGGAGGTTTTTTTTGAAGCCGTCTAAATACTTTAGCATGGGAACTCGTCTGAAAAAGCTTTCATTTAAATGGAGAGGTTCGGTTTTTCGTTTCCATACACTTGATCACTAACTTCTGAATGGCTATTATATATAAGTAACTCTTGCTCTGCAATAAATAGCATGCAGTGCTCAAGAGGTTTTGTAGATAATGTACCTAAATGTATAGATGTATTGGGTAATACTCTATACACACCATGTTGATTTAAATACAGAATTCTTCATTTTCATGTTGAACTTGTGCAGCTTTTTGCTCATTTCTACAATTATCGATTGATTTACAACTTGGTGAAATTTTGCAAAATATAATTTTAAACGTGTAACTGGAATGTTTTTTTAATTTTGTATAATTGGTGCAATCAAAATTCTAATGTGATTTTTTTTCCTTCCACCATTTTTAGTGGCGAAAGAAGCGAATGCGCAGGTATGTGAGCATATGTTTTTACTTGTTTGCTTGCTCTAAAAGACTATTTAGATGTTAACTTTTAATCTAATGAGACATATTTTATTCATGGCTTGTTTAAAATTAAATGGTAATTTGTCAAAGCTCATGGTTGAACTTAGAAACTAGGTGACTTGAACTATGAACTTATCTTTGTTCAAATTCATATTCCTCTGTACCTGGGATTGCAACTGACTATCTTGAAGCAAAAGGATTCTTACTATTCTGCATCCAAATGTAAAAACTCATTATTGATAGCAGGGAGATAACTAGAATTGCAAGGTCTATTCTTGGATTGGTAACAGTAAGCAATGGTTAAGAGTGTAGGGACTGCTAAAAGCAACATTCAAGAAACAAGGGTTACTTCAAAACAGGTGTCTGTAGTGCCTGTTGTATCCAGTTTCTTATTACTGTGTTTCTGTTTTAAATGAATAACCTATTCAATATGTCTGCACAGGTTAAAAGCTTAAGACTCAACATTTTAAGGGCCAGCAAATAGACATCTTTGTTTCATAAACTCAGGAGTTTTAAGACTTGATAGCCTAAAGAAGCAGAATGTGCCCAATGTTCATGCAATGTTTATTAATGTATCTTAGGTGGAAGACTTTAAGGGGTTAGGATTAGTTGTTTGGTTTTTTAATGCTTTAAATATTTCATAGAAGTATACGTTTCTTGGATGGGTAAAAATAAAAATTGCCATGAAACATTTTTATATCTTGTATTTACTGATATTTATTTATATAAATATCAATAAAAATATGACATTGGCTGATGTGGATTGGACCATCTGAGAATTTTCATTTCAGTAATCCTACCAAGAAAACTGCACCAGTAATCAATCTGTATATGTTCTGGAAATGTATAATGGACTTGCTTTTTTTCTATGTTGTGGAAGCGTATTGTCAGAAAAAATAGTTATTAAACTAAATATTCCAATTATGGTTATTGGAATTTCTGTTTGATGTCTCCTGAAATGATCAATCTTAATCTGCTCATCAGAAATTGATCTGGAGATATAAGTTCTACATCTCAATTTCTTCATCTATATGCTATCTCCAATTTTTGCAATTTTTAATAGAAATGCCCTGAGTCTTAAACTTTTAAAATATTACTTTAGGGTTTCAGTTAATGTTATTTTTTCTAGGCTGAAGCGCAAAAGGAGAAAGATGAGGCAGAGGTCCAAGTAGACATCATTCACAGTGCTACTGAAGCTGCAAAACAGCAATGGAAAGGTGGAGCCTTGGGAAGCCGACTTGCAGATAATGCTTTCTCTTTGCTGCTGCTAGAAGACCTATCTTCAGGAGATTCCATTTTCAAGCCTGGGAGCAGTGATCCTTTGAAGATGGCATCCCTGAGCTTTACTATTCTGGACTGATCTTGTCCTTGGTGGCTTGATGTAGCAACTGTATCAAATAAAAACCCCTTCTGGGGGGAATTCTACATGTTTTTTTCTTTCCAATGTTGATTTTTCAGTAAAATATTTTGAAAATATGGTGACACAAATGTGTCTAGATGATTTTAAGTTTCACTTTGGAAAAATTTATGGTTTTCTCATTTCATGATGTATTCCTCAGTTTGGTAAGCCATGCTACATAATGCAGCTGATGTTTCAAGTTCTGATAATTGTATAATAGAGTAAGATAAACAGTCTTGTGGTATTCAGATTTTTAAAAGAAGCTTTTGAAGGAAAGGCATTCTGCTTAGAATCTAACTAGCACCATTTCTTCATAAAGTGTCAACTTTCAGCTATATAAGTTCCTAGGGTGATTTATTTTGGTTTGTGTGGGTGGGTGTTTTTATGCTGTACTAAAGTAGAGGAAGAAGACTTCTCTTATATTCTGGAACCTATGAAATCTACCCCATATTTTTTTCTAAGATCAAATGAGTTTGTGATTCATTGCAGAACAGATAGGTTGTATTTATTTACTGTTCAAAAGTGGTATGATTAGAAAATTGAGTGTCATTGCTTGTTTCGTGGCCTGATTAATCTTAATGGGTTATAGTATTTATAAAATTTATTGGCTGCCCATCTTACAAGATAACTGGCTTACAGTCATAAAAGATATACCTACACATACAGTGTATTCAAAACAATTATAGTAAACAGTTCTGGTAAATAGATTCCTGATATCTCTCGAAGTAATATCCACTATAAGAGTGATTGTGGCTAGAAAACAAAGACTGCATAAGTGACCTGAAGTCAAATGCAGAATTGACCTAAGTCTACTTGGACGTTACACTAAGATTTCCTTAGAAGTTTGCTCTATAGCACAATTATGCATATCAATAATTTCAAAGCCTATGTCACTTGAGAAAGAATGTATGGGTATAATACGGTTTAGAAAGCTTAGTGATTTCCAAAATGCATCTAAATTGTTTATTGCAAACTTCCACTTTAGAAGGTAAGAAAAATCCATAGAAAATTGTGTCAGTTTTGAGTCTTATCAATGCATGCCTGCAATATAGTACATTTCACACATTATTCAGACTGAAGATGATGTGGGGTTTGGAAAGAGCATGATTGTCAAGTTTCTTGTAAATTTACTAATGCTCAGAAATGTAACAAATTTTCCCTGAAGGATCATCACATGGAAAACTGACTTCCTTTCCAAAAATAACTGATACTTTTTGAGTTTGGTAAAAATTGGTTCATAAATAAAAACCAACCCCCGACGGGTGTACTTGCTTGTGGGGGTGATCTCCCAAGTTAGAGTTAGGTGCCTTTTATAGACAACGACGGCTGGCCCCCCGATATAATTTTTAAAAAGCTCAGGAATAGTGGGCGGGTCATCTTTTCCCCAATTTATGAAAGTCGCGTGTCCACCCCACAACTCCACGTGCTCGTCCTTCCGCGGTCATGATCACCTCGCAATAACGACGCTGTCTGCCCTCGTTGGATTTGGTCGCTGACAAAAAGCGAGTAGCAAGAATTGCTTTCTCTTAAAAAGACCGTAACCGAAGCGCCAGCAGCAGGGAACAGGATCCGCCGCAGGAGCCTTACGCTTATAGGGGTTTCCCGCCACGAAAAAGTCCGGAGTCGGTAACGAGGCCGACGAAGCTGATTTTCCCGGCGCCCTTGGTTAGCGACTCCAGTCGAATTTACCTCAAGAGGGCGGAAGCGGAGGAAGAGAAACTCGTGGTCGCTATAGCAACCTTGACAGCCGGGAACTTCGGTCGATGTCCCGGCTGGAGAACGAAGCATAGAGTACTTCCGGCGGCAGCGGCAAGAAGGGAAGACTGACCGGAAGGGGTTGCGCTTTGTTTGGAGCAGAAGAGGTCGGAGTGAGGGTGAGTGGGTGGAGGTGGAACGGGGGGGGGGGGGGGGGGAAATCGGCTCACTTGTGGGGATCCAGCGCCCCCCATTTCCCCCTGGAAACGAAAAGCGCGTCCTCTGAGAGCCTAGGGAGCCCGTCCTGTCGAGCTCCTTCCCGGGGCCTCTGACAGAGACCCCAGCTTCCCTTCTTGTGGTCCCAGCCAGGGTCCTTTGACCCTGCCCCAAAGCAAACTGAGCTCTGCCTCGGTCTTTCCCTCTCGGGGAATTTGTGTTTAATTTTTCAAGATTTTCCTTCTTGAAGCTTGAGTATTGTATTCAAAATCTGACACAAGGCTTGGATAATTAGCAAGAAAGCTCAACCATAAACTGCGGAGTCAAAACCCCGTATCGCTGCGTTTCTGCCCCAAGCAAGATGCACCTTCAGCACTGAAAGCAAAAAGCTTTGCTTTTAAGGCTTTGTTTTTAAGAAATATGCAAGACTTCGGTGTATGTCCTGTCATCAGCATTTGACTCATTTCATAAATATAAATTCGATGGGGTTGTATACCTCGGCTTTGTGCTTCTTGTCCTCTCAAAGTGTGTATGGGACACTGTTGTGTTCATTAAAGTATATATGCTATCAAACTATAAAAGCAGTATTCTGATATTATGACAAGTGTACAACGGCGGCATGATAAAGTAGGTTGGTTCTTTTAGGTGTTATATTTAGATGTTAAGGAATTTCTCAAAAGTTTCCTAAAAATTCTAGATAAAAATATAATCGATAGGCTTGCTCAGTGATGCTTTCCTTTCCTCTGTATAAACCATAGAAGGAAAACTGAGCACATCCTATTTTCAGTTTATGTGAGATTGGTTAAGAACAAGCACAATACAACAAGCCATATACTAAGCACATTAAGAAAGTTAAAGTATTCTATTCTCTGCAATACTTGAAAACTCAGTTGCAGATTTTCAGGTACAATATTCTCTGTTAAGTTGGAAGCTGAGAAGCCCCTGGAATAATTTGAAACTTTGAGACTAGGATTGTCTCAAGCCCAGTGTTGGGCTAAGTGTTGATCTTTCTCTCACACTTAGTTACATAGGCACAAGCACAACATTAAGTGTGAATAGAAGGATTTTCATGTCTTGTGTTTTTTTGCCTTTCTTCCCTTTAGGTCTTGGGGCCATAAATCATTCTGGAATGTCTTTGAAAAATTTATATCACAAAGGTAAAATTCCAATTAGAAATAAGTGGCTAAATATCTCTGTTGCTAATGAAATATTAAATGTTTTTAGTTTAATGAATGACCCATTCATTCAATTTACAATCATGTCATGGTTGCAATTTGATTTCTGGAATGAGGTTGGGAAATTTCTCACACAGTTTTTTCTAAACAGTTTGAAACTGGGAAAAGTATTACAATTTAAAAAATGCTCCTCTATATGTAGGGTTTTGTATCTAGTTTCACTATTTGAAATTGTGCCATTGAGCTGATATTTCTTGCCCCTTCCTACAGCTCCATATAAACAATGGTATTGTGACCTTAATGATGAATAATAGAACAAGCACTCAAATTCTTTTCGCTTTTTATGGGATTGATTTAGTACAACTTTGATGTCAGATAATGGTTGGAGGGAATAGGTCTTTAGATCTGAATATATGCAATCAAAGTAATTCTCAGAATCTTTATGTTATTGTAATTATATCATTTATATGAAGTTATATCATTTACAAATGATGCTATGCCAATGACACAAATTGATGTCATTTGCAAATGTTAATGCAAATGGTGGAATAAGCTCAATTACATAACTATGTGAATGATGTAAAGTCAATTATTTTGACTGCTTCAGAAAGGCCATGGTTTGGAGGTGACCATTATTTGGAGGTGAACAAAATTTCAGTTGGTTTCATCCAGAGTTGGCTGAATGGGGCTGATCCAACTGAGTGTAAAATTTAAGTGTATTGATGGTTACCAATTCTGAACTGGCATGTTCATGACATTTGGAACAGGGTAGAGATGGAAAGGAGAGCCAGATGAGGTCTGTGGTTCACCTCTGGAATCAATGTGGAATCTCTGGCAGTATTCTAGCCTAGTCCTTAACCTGTGGAGCCTCATGTCAGGCTCAACCTCCAATGCCCCCTCCTTGCAGGAATTTTTTCTTGCAGTCTTTTCTAAATGTGAGTGGAGTGCTTAGCCTGCTTTCGGATGAAATACCATTCAGCTTATGCTACTTCATATCTTTGCTTTCTGGGAATTATGAGTGGCAGCAGCAGCTGTCAAGAGCTGCAATGCTTGATTGCTCCCCACAAGTCCCTAGAAGTCTGTGCTTAAAGTTGTCCAGTGGGAGTGCATTCACTTGTCAGCTCCCAGGGAAGTGCTTCTTTAAGTGCTTATAATGCTTGAAGCTGCTTCAACTTTAACTTGAGTAACATCTGTAGGGATGAATGGTGTCTACTCAGCAGGAGAAAGGCCTGTTCCCCCTCTATGCTTGATTTTATTCTTATATTGCTGTTGGTTAAACCTAGCCACTTTAGTTGAGTCACTCCGGAAAATTACGGAATAGCTATATTATTCCAGTGTAAAGATGGTATACCATAGACTTACTGCAGTTGAATTGTGATTAGTGGGGTATTTGACTTGGTGGATATTATAAGTTGATACCAGGTTGCCTTTTGTGAGGCAAAATTCGGTTAGTGTGAGGGTAGTGTGCATGCAGCTGAAGCTGGTTCATGTGCAGTTGCTGCTGGCATTTTAGATGCTAATTGTCATATGTGCAAAATAGAGAAAAGGAAGGTTCCATTGAAGGAAAGCTTAAAAAAGGAGAGGGTTATTTTGGAAAAGCTAGAGCAAAATACAGGAATCAGCAGATGTGCTTCGGATATGCACTTGTCCTCCAGCTTCTACTTTTTTCTTAAATATTCTCAAATCTATGTCCTATCTATTTTCTATATAGAAAATGGATAGGAATGATATTTAATTTCTATATTATATCTATTTCTATATCTGGGACTTGTTAAAAATAGAAGTTGTAAGTACACTTAATAATTTACTTTTGTATTTCATAAATAAACATATCAAAGTTTCTATTTAAAAATTTTCATTGCCTATTTCTGTTGAGTTGGAACCAATTACCCTATTTCCCCCCGAAATACTACTTCGAATAGTGTACATTTGAATAATGTGACCATTTTGTAGGTTTCACAATCAGCACTACTATAATCAAAGCCAACCTATGTAACAAGTTAAAAAGTGAGAATTATAAAAATAACAAAAAGAAGATATGTAATAGTAAAATAAAATTCTATATCCATCCCCTTCCCTTTGGCAGAATAGGAGAAAAATATTAAAATAGTGGTATTTAGGTCCTGTAATCTAATTAAATGTTGTAAAAAAAAGTTACCGGTCAGCGCAGTTACCAATAGGTAAAAAACTATATTTACACTTCTCACTAATCCATAACGCAATTTGATTTTAGCTTAGCATGTTGCATTAACCTAACCATAGTTTTTTATAAACTGTAGGGTACAAATATTACAACCAACCAGTCAATGGTTTATGTGATATTTTAAAAAGGTGGGTTAATGCAATGTATGGGGATGGGGAGAAAACTTGCCTTTAGGAGTGCCCTGCAGGTAGCCTAGGCTAGAATACCCCGATAGCCGATAGAAGCTCCCTGAAGGCAGAGTCCCCAGCCGCTTCAGGGCGTGTCGTGGCTACCCGTGTCCCCTCGCCTTTAGGGCAGTCTCTTTCGGGCGATGGAAGCTTCCCATGTGCAGTCACCAGCCACTTTGATCGGCCGGTAGAAGCGGCCTCGGGGCGAGCGCACACACACACACACTCCCTTCACCGTGAGGCCGCTTCTATCAGCAGACAAAAGCTCTCTTGAAGGCAGAGTCCCCAGCCGCTTCAGGGCGAGGCGTGGCTGCCCATGTCCCCTCACCTTTAGGCAGTCTCTTTCGGGCAATGGAAACTCCCCAAATGCACTCACCAGCCACTTCGATCGGCCGGTAGAAGCAGCCTCGGGGCGAGCGCACACACACACACACTCCCCTCCCCACGAGGCCGCTTCTATCGGCAGACGAAAGCTCCCTTGAAGGCAGAGGGGACATGGGCAGCCACGCCTCGCCCCGAAGCGGCTGGGGACTCTGCCTTCAAGGGAGCTTTTGTCTGCTGATAGAAGCGGCCTCGCGGCGAAGGGAGTGTGTGTGTGTGTGCGCTCGCCCTGAGGCCGCTTCTACCGGCCGATCGAAGTGGCTGGTGACTGCACTTGGGAAGCTTCCATCACCTGAAAGAGACTGCCCTAAAGGCGAGGGGACACAGGTAGCCACGCCTCGCCCTGAAGCAGGTGGGGACTCTGCCTTCAAGGGAGCTTTCGTCTGCCGATAGAAGCGGCCTCGCGGCGAGGGGAGTGTGTGTGTGTGTGTGTGTGTGTGCTCGCGCTCGCCCCGAGGCCGTTTCTACCGGCCGATCGAAGTGGCTGGTGACTGCATTTGGGGAGCTTCCATCGCCCGAAAGAGACTGCTTAAAGGCGAGGAGACACGGGCAGCCACGCCATGCCCTGAAGCGGCTGGGGACTCTGCCTTCAAGGGAGCTTTCGTCTGCTGATAGAAGCGGCCTCGCGGTGAAGGGAGTGTGTGTGTGTGTGCGCTCGCCCCGAGGCCGCTTCTACCAGCCGATTGAAGTGGCTGGGGACTCTGCCTTCGGGGAGCTTTCGTCGGCCGATAGAAGCGGCCTCGTGGCGAGGTACGTGCGTATGGGCTGCTCTAGATGGGGGAGGAAATTAAGTCACCCCCGAAAAGACGGCCTACCCGTTTCTTCAGGGGTCAAAAAAAAAATAAGGCCCGGCCTTATTTTGTGAGAAACACGGTAGAAATAAATAAATAAATAATAATATGAGATTCTGTTCATGGCCTCTTTTCCCTTTCATCCCTAACTTGGTCTCCTGCACAGTTGCTTGATTGAAAGACGCAGCCGTGACAAGAAGATGCCTGACCGTGACAACACCTATAACGGTAGTGGTAGCGATGAGGCAAGCGCCAACACCGACGACATCTGCCGAGACTTCCTGCGCAACGTCTGCAAGCGGGGCAAACGTTGCCGTTTCCGCCACCCTGACATCAACGAGGTGACCAACTTGGGGGTCAGCAAGAACGAGTTCATCTTCTGCCACGACTTTCAGAACAAGGAGTGCGTCCGCATCAATTGCCGCTTCATCCACGGCACCAAAGAGGACGAAGACTGCTACAAAAAGACCGGGGAGCTTCCCCCGCGCCTCCGCCAGAAAGTGGCAGCTGGCCTTGGCCTGTCCCCAGCTGACCTCCCCAACAGCAAGGAAGAGGTTCCCATCTGCCGAGATTTTCTCAAGGGGGATTGCCAGCGTGGGGCCAAGTGCAAATTCCAGCACCTGCAGCGGGATTATGAATATGATGCCCGGGGCCTGACTACCAGGGAACAGGGGATCACCACCCCTGTGCGTCGCTATGACCCCTATGACCCAATGTATGACTCTGACCGATGCTATGATGACCATGACCCTGTGCTCAAAAGACGGCGCGTGGATGGGCTCCACTTTGAAACGTATGAATACAACTTCACTAGTCCGCGCACGGTGGAATATCGTCTCCTGGAAGAAGAAAACATCATGCTCCGCAAACGAGTGGAGGACCTCAAAAAGCAAGTCAACAACCTCCTGGCCACCAATGAGGTCCTTTTGGAACAGAACGCCCAATTCCGCAACCAAGCCAAAGTGATGACCCTCAGCTCCACGGCTACGGCCACCGAACAGACTCTGGCCCCGACCGTGGGCACTGTGACCAACTATAACCACAGCATTGCCCAAACTCACACAACTCTGAGCAGCCAAGCCCTGCAACCACGTCCCGTCTCCCAGCAGGATTTGGTAGCCCCTGCTGGAGCGCAGGCAGCCCCCCCGAGCAACGCGGCCCCTCCTATGAACCCTGAAATCACCCCGCTGTCAGCAGCTTTGGCTCAGACCATTGCCCAAGGGATGGCTCCCCCTGTATCCATGGCCCCCGTAGCTGTCTCGGTAGCGCCAGTGGCTGTGTCGATGGCTCAGCCTCTGGGGGCCATTACCATGAGCCATGCCACTACTCCCATGGTGACCTACCCCATAGCCTCCCAGAGTATGAGAATAACGGCCATGCCTCACTAGCCCACATTCGGCAGAAGTGCCATCGTTCAGTCTACACCGTGCTGTTCCTCAGTCGAGGGTGGGCACAAATCCTGTTGACAGTCAAGGCAAAGAGAATGATATTGATCCCAGAGATGGATCTTGAAGCCTCTGGAAAGCTCATGGGGAAGGACTATAACCTGGGTTGACATTTTGTCTGAAACAGGCATAGGGGCTGTCTTTTCACAGTGAAAACAGAGCCCAGGCATAACAGAAAAACAAGCAACAAAAGCATTTGGAAAATACAGAGCCTCAGACATTTTTTTCTCTGTATCCTATTTCTGTTTTGTTGTTCGTCTGTTCCCTTTGTAAGTCCTCCAGTTATGCTTTTGAATATAAGAACTGAGCAAACTTTCCAGACTGTGGATTACAGTGTCTATTGTGTGGCTGAGCAGAGGGAAAATAGCAGTTCCTTCCCTGGTACTGTACTTGTTCATGGAGTGGAGGGCAGTTTTCCTTAGCTCAGTCTGACGAAAGGCAGAGACTTAATAAAATAGCAGCTCAGCAGACTGAGTCAGCCTGAATTCTTGCACTCTTTTTCTTGGTGTAGAAAGGCAGGAATCCAGGCACCTGGAAAATAACTAATTTAAATTGTAATGGTTGAATAGACAATGAACTGGAAAGAGTTGCAGCAAACAGAACATCCCTTCCTTTGGGGTAGATTAGCTCTTAGTTCTGGAAAGAACAGGTTCAAAGCACAGAGACAGCACTGATAGCTTGATAGTTTGTGTAGTGGAGGCAATTGCATGTGTTTGCATATGTGTGTGAATCCACATACCTTATGGATACACAACACCCACAGAGATGGCATCTCTTTAGAAGAATGTTGAGGGTTTCAAAGAGTCCAGGGTTTAGTGACAGGATCTCTTGCTGCTGAACAGCTAGCTCACCACCTTTCTTCTACTTCCCTATTGCTTTCTGGCTGTATTTTGTGCCTGAATTCTTCTCACATCCAAGGACTTTGTGGTAGAACCCTACTTCACTTTTTGCTTTGTTTTTCAAGGCACCACATTTTTTATAGATACCTTCCCTCAGTGTGAGTTTTTGGCTGTCTTTTCTGGGAGGGTTTTTTTTGTTTTTGTTTTTAATGTGAACTTCAGCTCCTCCTTGAGTCTGAAGTAACTATTAAAATGATTTGAGGGAAATGAGAAAAATGTTTGATGACCCAGCTGTTTCTACAGTTAACAGTGTAAATGTTTACAGCTATTAAAACAAATGTACAGTCCTCAACTATATTCATCCCTGTAATGATTTTCTAAATTAAAAAAAAATCCTCTTCTGTCTTCTCCCAGCGCTTTCTGGGATTTCTACACACGTAGTAAAGAATCCAGTTTCAGATCTTGAAGCTCTTTCTGCTTTGGAGCAGAATACATCTGCTTCCTAAAATATTGATAATGATTGCAAGGAAGGGTGAGACACTAAGTGAAGTAAGGGAGAAAGGAGACTTCAAGAAAAACCCAAGAGGCTTATTATAAGTGTCATTCTCCTCAATAAGCACTGAGGTGGATCACCAGAGGACCCTAGGACTCTACAATGGTCATAAATATGAGTCAGTTGCTAAGCATCTGAATTCTGATCACATGACCCTCCAGATGCTGTGTGAAAAAGTCATGTCACTTTTTCAGTGCTGTTGTAACTTCGATCACAAAATGAACTGTTGTAAGTCGAGGATTACCTGTATACATCCAGATCTGTCTTTACATCACATGTGCATCGCCACAAATCTTTTTATGGGGTTCAAACCTTCTCCTGGGAATGTACCAGTCCATGTACCTTTAGACAATTGCATAGGGTGCATTAAGTCCTGTACCCAGTTTTGCGCTCCTTCAGACTTCTCCATGCCAAAAATCTTTCGCAAAGGAGCGCAAAATCTCCTCCAAATTCTTTTGTACATTTGCAGAAGGTTCTGGCATGGAGAAGTGAAGAATTTGGGGGTGGGGTGCGGTTTTACGCTTCAGACTCAACAAAGCTGCCCGACACTTCAAAAGTGGATCAGGTGTCCTGCACAGGCAGACTTGGTGAGTCAGCGAAGCTGAGCATGATGTGCTTGTCCCACTCAGCCGCTGCTTGACTCACGTCTCCATCTCTGGAGCACTGGGATTGGACGGGAGAAGGGAACTGCATGCAAATAAAGGGTTCATTAGGTCCTGGCCCCGCAAATAAAGGACAACATACAACTGTTTCAAAAATCTACTTTTATTCTTGATTTGTGTGAAGCTCTTATTCAGAAGAAATATAAAAGTCCTGTACAAATAGAACTACAAAAATATGATTTCAATTTAAGTTAGGTTAAGACTCATTATTTTCAAGCTTTGAAATCCTGTAAAGTTTCTCTTTGGATGTCTTACCATAATATTCACTTTGCATCCTAAAACTAGGTATGTGTGTGTGTGGGGAAACTCCCTGTAATATAAAGCCCTAAATAAACAGGACAAAAGACAAAGCAGAAACCAAATCCCCATATTAATGCCCGATCACACAATTAGCCATTAATTACTAATTTTAAGACTCACAACAAGCACAGGAATGTAGATTAAAAACATTTAAAAAAACATTTTTATCCAGATTGAATGAAAATGAATAAGTCAATGGAAAAGATACTTTCTATGGTTTTCCTTCTTCATGTTTATTTATTCTTTTGAAATCAATTACTACTCTGAAGAGGGCTTTGTTTTTATTAGAAAAAGAGCAATTTGGCATGTTTCACCTGTACCATTTTCAATGCAGTACTAACGTGATAAAAATTAAATAAATATAAATACACAAAATAAATATTTTGCAAAAAGAACATTACAAATAGGTCAACTTTGGAGCACGCTCTTGGGGATTCTTATTTGTTCTCCACATATAAAAAACTACACATCCTAGTTTTAAAGATACTGGGAAGGAAAACCACCTCCTTCAGCGCGAGAAGCAAGTCCATCCATTTAGCTTCCCACAAGAGCCTGTGTGTAAAGAAAACTGGGCTTGAATGACCTAACACGACCCCCAGTAACCAGGTGCCTGGTTTCCCTATACTTTTTCAAGGGTAATTTATACCCCAATCTTTTTTTTCTCCCTACGAAGTGTTCATTTGGGCGAACATCTTACAGTGCAATCTTATACTTGTTTATTCAGAAACAAGCCCCGCTGAATTCAGTAGTACTCCTGGGAAGAGTAGAGCGTTACAGGCTTAATCCGACCAATGAAATAAAGCACTTCTGTCAATTCTTGCATTTCAATTACACAGCTAACTACTCACATTCTTGAAAAGAAACCTGAAATAGCATTGGAATAATTTGCTCCAGCTATGTAGAGTTTAACGTTACGATTCCATATTTGCAAGCTCTAGGAGCTTTGTACAGAGAAGTTGTACATGTTGGTTATTTCAAGGACAAGTTGAGATCTGCGCAAACATATTTGGAGACCAAGACAGGGACGGTGGCAAGGGAGGGGAGGGGGCACATGTTTGTATTGGAGTAGGCATGTTTGATCTACCCCTCATGCCCTTCCCAAATTATTTCCTATCTGCTTCAAGTACATAAGCTGGCAGTGGTGCAGAGCTTGCTACGGTTAAGAGGATTCTCTTCCTGAGATCCAAAAGGTGCTTGGCAATGTTACAGTTTTCAATCCCTTGAAGAAGAAAAAAACCTTCTATGCAGTAAAAAGGCCTGAATGCCTTTTATTAGAAGACCCTACAGGACAGGGGTCTCTTTGAAACCACAAACTGAGATGAGGAATACCCCACCTCATTTTTCCCCCTCTTGGGAACTCCTTTGGACTGCTCCTGCTTTAAAAACCCGGGTCCTGGTACTATCCCGTTTCCCTTCGATTCGAATTCAACTTGGAATCTCCTTCCTGAGTCAGAGCCGGTGGAGTACAAGGCACGTTTGAGACATCTGGGCCTCAAAAAGAGTTTGCTTTGGTTTTGGTTCACTCTTTTGCAGTCTGTCAAGTCACCCTGCTAAGGCAGGCCGAATGCCCTCGGGCCTGTAATGCGCAAGACCACTCCGACCGTCAAACAGCATCTCCCAGAAACCCCTGCCTGGCTGCGTTCTGCATGTAATAAGGCTGGAACAGTCTTTCCAGACAGCAGATGTGCATCGCATTGTAAGTGTGCAGCAGAAGATGAGGAAAACGCGACGTAAAGTAGGCCACAAAATCATCTGGGACAGATCCCAGGGTCTCCTGTACCTCCGGAGGCAGTTCTCGATAGTGATGTTTCTGTAAGTGGAAGAGGAAGAAAGGGGCAAGGGTAGGCATGTGCTCGCTTAACAGTGATAAGAAATAACATATTTTTAAAATGTCATTTGTAAGAATCTGTCTGCATTATTATACCAAGCATTTTCACCAGATCAGAGTATCCAAGATAAGAGAAACCTTTGCTACGGTGAGTTTTTCTTAAGACAAGCAGCTCTGTTTGACCCTTTATTGGAAAAACAAGACTTTTTTTTTTTTTTTGCCATTTTTATGGTCTAAATTAGATGTTTGCAACTGCTATTTTACCCTGCTAAGAAAAAGATCAATGTTTTCTCCATTGTCACAAATAGAAACAGGGGGGAAAACTGATCAGGAAATAATACAGGTAGTTCTTGACTTACGACCTTAACTGAACTCAGAATTAGTCCTAAGTCATGGCGGTGATTAGGTGTGTCACCATGCAACCAGGCCCGATTCTACGATCTTTCTTGCAGTGTTTGCTAAGCAAATGCTATGAAGCAATGTGGAGATCATTAAGCAAGTTTGTTTTCTCCAATGGGCGTTTTTTGCTGGAAACTGGAAGTCCAAACTGCCCAAACATGCCAAAAATCATGGTTATGTGACTGCAGGATGCTGCAAATGGTTGCAAATGCAAGCCGGTTCCCAAGTGCCCCAAAATGCAATCAGTGTGCGTATGTGTGTGAGATGTGTGTGTGTAGCTGTTGGAACTTTGAAAAGAGTAGAAAGTAGCTCTGGAGAGTCCGTTGCAACTTTGGTCACTAAGCAACCAGTCGTTAAGCGAGCACTACTTGTACTTTAATCCTCTTCTCCTAGAGCTGTTGCTGACGGTCACTTCAGGGAATTGCCATTTTTATTGACATTCAATGTTGGAAGGTTTTTTTAATCCAGTGGTCCCCAACTTTTCTGGCTATGCAGACTGGCGAGGGGAGAGAATCAGGAACAGTTCTGATCGTGCGCTTTCTAAAATTCGTGTTTGAAAGTGGGGCTAAATAAATAAGCTGGAGAAGATTGATTAAAACCAGGGCCCCCAAACCCCAGGCCAGTCCTCGGCCACGTCCTGTTGGGAACCAGACCATGGAAGCAGTGGGTGAGCCTCCATGCAGATCCATTTGCAAAGTGGTAGGTATGCCCTGGTCACACAAACGGAGCTTTGTGCTCGCCTGCTGCTTCCCCGGTCTGGTTCTCAAGAGGCCATGGCCCAGGACTGGACTGCAGCCTGGGGGTTGGGACCCCCCCAGTTTTAATGAATCAATCTTCTTTATTTAGCCCTGCTCTATTCAAACACAAATTTTAGAAAGCCGATAATCAGAACTGTTCCTGGATTTAACTGCAAAGTAACTGCAAAATTGCAATTGATGTGAATATGAGAGGCAGCTATCACAATGAATGAGCATCCCCCTGTATTTAGAAGCCAGAAACGCATCTGAGAAGGAATCAGCAATCCCAAAACACACATACCTTGTTCCTCATTGCCCTCAAGAGATCTCTTACTGAGCCCCCTTTATAGGACCGGAACTTTCGAAGATCTGCCAAGAAACATCCAAATGAAGACTTTTAGAACCAACTAGAGCTATTTTTGCACTCGAGATGAGTTGAAACAATACAGGAGAGTTCTCTCCGAAAGTAAGGAAAATAAAGCTGAACCTGTCTGAAGCGGGACGGTTATGTGCTCTCTCCAGTCCATCTTCACCACAGCTCTTCCTCCTCTCTCCAGCTCCTTCACTATTGGACCATCTAGAGATTCTTTTTCTATCCGGTCACTCACGTCCTGCAATTAATATCAGACATTTAGAGCCCATCAAGTTTGGCTTCCAGCTTCCATGGACTCCTGTCTCAAAAGCTGCTCCAATGGGCAAAAGACAAAGATGCTGCGGTTGCTTTCGCTACATCCTTGGGGGTCCCCCTCCCCCGATATGATCTATGCTTTGATAAAGCTCATGGTCATAAGCTCAAGAGGAGAGAGAGCAGAAACTGAAAGAGGGACCTGCCCTCCAGCAGGGCCTCAAAAGCTGTGGCTAAACCAATGAGTGCTTTAGTGCAAGTGTGGCCCTGAAATCAGGTCAGGCAAGGGAAGGATCCTGGTTCGTGGCCCTTGGTACTTCATTGCTAAGAGAGTTAGCAAAGGTTCAACCTGCACTATAAAGCCTATAATATGATAACACAATAACAGGATAACATAACATACATAGCATAGCAAACATAACAACATAATTTTAAATATTTCTTAAATTGATTCATAAACGTTTTACAGGTAAAGCTGTATTCTTCACCATAAGAGTAAATTAGATTTCCAAGCAGTCTGAAGTGCTTTCACAAAAAAATAGGAATTCTACCAACCACATATGCAAAAAGTGTTAACTGGTACAAACTGCTAATTTTGCATAGTTCATTCCACTGGCATTATTATTCTGCATAACTTATTTAGACAGTTAGTTAAGGCATCATTCATACATCCTAAGCAACAGAAGGTACAAAGTACTACAGATAATCCTCACTTACCAACCATCCTTTTAGTGACCATTTAAAGTAGTGATTGTTCTCAATGGAAAAGCCAGCCCTCAGGCACTCCTACATTGGTACCTGCATCACACAGCCAATGCCCGGCCTTCCTGCACTTATGCTGCACCATCCCATGCCATCCCATCCCATCCTTCCTGTCCTCATGCCATGCCATACAACTCCTCCTGCCTTTCTGTGCTCACACGTGGCTTTCACCAGGCCTCCCAAGCTCTTCCCCCAATACACATGACCTCAACCGGCCATCCCAGACCTCCCCCAGCACCCCCCATCCCTCTGGGCACCCTCACATTCTTTACCTGGGACTCCTACTATTTCCTGCTTAGTGCACCCAGAGTCAATTGGGACTGCCAGGATTGTCGTCGCTAAACAACGTGGTTGCATGACATCCAATTTTATGACCGCATCACTTAGCCATGGCATTGTCGGTCCCAACTGCTATTAAAATCTCCATATTTCTGAGTATAATGTAGGGCAGATTTATAGCACACAAAGTTGAATAGATGACAGAAAAAAACCATGACCAACCTGGAAAAACTGAAGCTGTTTCTCTAAGCTCCAGAAAAAAGGGTGTTTCAAGACACAATTAGCTGAAGGTCGTTTCTGAGGATCCATATTTATCATTTGCTCTATCAAGTCACGTGCAACAATGTCCTCTGTGGAAAAAAAACCAAAACAAATTGGAGCATTCAGAGCCTTTTTACAGAGCTAGTATTTTTCTCCCTTAGGAGACAGGAAGCCAAAACCTACAATCCCAGTGCCTGAAAGAAAAGAAAAAAAAACCACCACAAAAACAATAGGTTCCTTCTATGGCTGGATAGCATATGGATAGATCCTAATGGCATTGCCTATGTTTTGTTAACTGCTTGTGCAGGAAAAGTTGTTGGCACTGTCAGAGTTGCTTGGTCCAGAATGCTGCTACTATTCATCAGTAAATCAAAGTATAGTTTGCTGCATAATTCAAATGTAATCCAATCCACTTTTGGTGGGAATTGCAAAATTCGTCCAGAGTCTCTTTTCAGAGCGAGATGGGTGGCACATAAATTTAATAAACAAATAAAATGCACTACATCAGAGACTGGATTGCTGGGGTTCAGCTGTTTAGGAGCCATGGCTTTTGCCTCAAATAACTTATTAGTGCACATCCAATTATAGTTAAACAGCTTAATGAAGCATTGCATAAAGGAAACCTCTGTGACAGGTAAATAAGTGGCAAAGCTTACCTGATTCAAAAAAACCCAGCAAAAGGAATCACACCAGAAACAACAGGCCAATAACGCGCTTGTCTACAATGTTTAAATTGTACGTACACTAGGGGTGTCAAACTTGTGTCTTCATGTGATGTATTGCCATTTTTTCCCCCTTTTGCTAACCTGGGCATTTGTGAGTTTGACAGTCCTGTTGTACACTGTTTAAATAGTTGTATTATGTACAGGCATAATAATGAACAGCATCCAATATTATTTAGAAAAAATAGATTCCTTCCAGAAGAACAGAAGGAAATAAAAGGAAAAGCAGAGGTACAAAAGACTGACTTCTGATAAAATGGTTTTGAAGAACTGGATAAGGTAAAAAACTAATTTATATATAGTCTGAATGGATTATTACTGTTGGACAACATGCCAAATCCAGTCTAAATATTTGGCTGACTGCACAGTCAATTATAACTTTGGATAAATCAAGATAACATACAAAATAATTCACTGTTGAATTCAGCCAACTTCTACAGAAATCAGTGAGATTCTATCACTCCTTGCATACATATAACACACACAGAAAATTCTTCAGTATGAAATATAACCCCAACTCAACCATCAGTTTTCACATGTAGCTGGATATATGGAGGTTTTCACATGTAGCTGTGCTGGATATATGGAGGTATGCATGCCACAAACATCATCATCATCAACAACTGAATCCTAGCCTGCTTACCATGGACTTCTAGATTTAGGAAATCCAGACTATATGCACCCAGTAAAATGTTGGCTTGCCGCTGCAGGGATTTGCCAAATGGATGGTTGCCTTCTGATATCACGTAGTAGAAAACACAACCAGCTGAAAAAATATCCACCGTGTGGGTCTACAAGAGAACCATTAAAAAAAATTACTATACAGCATCTTTAACAAGATTATAAGCCACTGAGCAGTTTTTGGGAGTTGGACAGCCTTAAAAATCCATTGATTGATTGATTGAATGAATGAATGTTGTCCATTTTAAAGAAAGATAAATTTCTAAGATATAAGAAATATGAGAATTTCAACAGGATTATTTATAGTACCTTCCTAAAATTCTAAAGATAGTAGGGTTAAATATAATTTACAGAACTTGTGAATATAGAGGTTGTATTGCACAAGGTAAATCTTACATTTAGCTGAATACATAATAAGTAATAAAAATGTTAAATCTATATTAATTTCAAAGTAATATGTGATATTCTTGTGTTGGCAGTACATGTTGTTTGACACAAGGGGGCTTTCTTGAATGCTTTAATTTTTATTCCTTTTTCCTAAACTACTTTTCTAAGTGTGCTCCCTTATTTTTTGTTCAAAACACATCTGAAACATTCTCTTTCGTCAGCATTAAAACACATACATTATTTCTCATTGTGCAACTCTAGATATGATACAACTCTACACAAAGGAAATAAATAGATTTAGTTTAAATCAAATCAAACCATAGTATGGTGCCCTCTTAAATTGAAAGATTTATCTAATAATGTTAACAGCTATTCATCCTTGAATGCTGTATTAGGGATGAGAACAGTTGCCTTTGATTTATTAATTTACTCTAAAATTGAAATCTTTGGAACCTAAGTGGGTTTTGAAAGACTCTGAACTTTGAAAAAAGACAAGAGAAGAAGCTGGAACTGTAAAATACTATTTAAAAAATTCAGCATTTACACTGTTATTCTCCACTGTTTACAGCATTTTGTAAAACCCAAAGCAACATCAGATTGCTGACGACTTGACTCTCCCAGCTGACCAAGGAGAGATTGGAAACGTTCCTTCCTTGCCCCTTTTCTGTGTTCTGTGCTCCAAAAGGAATTTCTGACTGAACTCCAAAATCCACACTTATCTAAAGAGAGCTAGGCCAGTCTAGGACCTTATTAAAGATTGACTTTATCCTAAAGAGGGATCAGATCTCTCTTTCTTGTTAGGAAGGAAAACTGTCCCAGAGGTGAATCCTTTCAAACTTCTGCAGGATATCCTACCCTGCTTCTTACTTTCTTCATGCGAGAGAAAGGAAAAAGAGGCCGTCACATAAATATGTGCCTTAATTCAAATCACCGTTCAAGGAAACCTCAGCAAAAAAAGATTCAAAGCAAACGAGCAAAATGCTTGTGACTTACCGGATTCTCTTTGCAGTCCTCGCTCAGTATCTCCGGAGCAATCCAACCTTCGGTGCCTGGGACTCCAGACCGGCGGCTAAAACTGTGCCTGCCGACTGCAAGCTTCTTGCAGAGGCCAAAGTCGGAAATCATGGCTTTTACCTTGCCATGGGCATTCGGCATAGAGATGAGGATGTTGTGGGGCTTCAGGTCTCTGTGGACTGAAAGGAAGGCACGAGGAAGACCCCAAGTGAGAAAAGAGCCAACTTACTGCTTCAGGATGCTGACCTCATCTCAAAATCCAGACTGATTATAGACTTGGCTTATTCCCATACTGCTTATTTATGGCATCATCTGTCATCATCAAACTGCTGTGGTACCACCATAAGAGCCCCAAGTATAGGTTTTATAATGTTATGATGATGGATGGGGATACTACACAACAGCTTCTTTGTAGCACGCACCCACACCCACACACAGAGCCATTATTATAATGATATAAAGTCACTGGTGCAGAAATGATCTTATTTTAATAACATGCATCTTTCCCATTTTTCCTCTTAGAGAAGAAAGTCAACCCTATAATCCATGGATTATGCAGCTCACTAAAAGAGATGTTTAGCACCCCCTCATTATATATCTAATTCCTACATTTTTATCCCGCCTTTGTTACGTTGACTTCTCATCTTCTCATCAACTTCCAGCCAAATGTATAATGTTGCTATTACATAAAACAGTAGCTCTGGCCTTCATTTGTTTACTTTCCATCTCACAACCCCAGAAGCTTCCTCAATTTCCTGAAAAAAATATTATCTTATCACCCCAGACTAAGCCTCTAATTCTTCCCTTAAAAAAGGCAGCGAGAGAGCTGCTCATTAAAATAAAAAGGCTTCTTACCTATATTGAGAGAGTGAAGATAAGCCATGCCAGACATGGTCTGCTGTAAGAGAGTGATTGGCTGCAAGCCGTGATGACCAAAGTCCTTCTGTTCCACATACTAAAATTACACATACAAAAAATCAGAACGAGATTAACGTTGCAATGCTCTGTAGTCTCTCTGGAAAGCAGACCAAGCAGCAATTTGTTTCTAGGTAAACATGCATGTCACTGGGGCGTGTAACTTGTGTAGGAGAGTCCCAAAGGTGCTTTTCCAAAAGGCAATTGGACTTTCTTGTTTTTTTTCCTTGAAAACATTTGATTTCTCATCCACAAACCTTCTTCATTTCTGACTGAACTGAACTATTCAGTCAGAACTGAAAAAGCTTCTAGGATGAGAAGGAAGAGAAGTTTTTTTCAAGGAAAAAACAAAGAAAATCCAATTGCTTTTTGGAAGAGCACCTTTGGGACAATCATGCCCTGGATGGTTAAGAATTTCCATAGACTTCTGTAGGAGAGGTAACCAAATGACCACCTGGTATTTGGGACTACAATTCCCATGAAGTGTGTAACCCAGAAAGCAGCAGTAGAATTGGGAAATGAACGGTGCAAACTGGTTGGGGCTTGATCTGAAATGCTTGGGTGCGAAAAACTGAGTTACAGAGCCTTGTAATTGGAAGGAGGCAAAACCAGAGGAAAAAAGATTCTCTTGTGGAGCTGTAAATTCAGGGATTCCACCAGGTGACAGCAGATTGGACATAGAGAGATGCACAAAGGGAGACAGGAGAGGAGAAGCAGGAGAAGCTCAGCCTGGAGGCACTGGGCAAAGGGAAGAAGAGGGAGCCTAAGGAGACAAGGAACCTAGGAGTCTTTAAGGGAAGACTTTAAAGAAAGAGATACACAGTTTACTCGAGAGCAAGAGTGATAAGAGGCAGCAACAAAGCTTTCAAATTACAGGACAGCCAGAAAGATTCCCAGGTGAATGAGACGCAAAGGGGAAAAAGCCCAAAACTGTATCTGCTATCTATAGATACCACAGGAAGAGACAGATTGGGGGGGGGGGGCGCAATGGGATTTGTTTTGATTGGCACACTCAGACAATGTCCCAAAGGTGCTTTTTCAAACGGCAACTGGACTTTCTTTGTTTTTCCTTGAAGATGTTTCACTTCTCATCCAAGAAGCTTCTTCAGTTCTGGAGCTTCTTGGATGAGAAGCAAAACGTCTTTAAGGAAATACACAAAAAAGTCCAGTTGCTTCTTGAGAAAGCACGTTTGGGACAACCATGACCTGGATGACTGAGAATCTCCACAGTCATTCAGCCAATGAGGAATAAGGGGCTGGCGAGTTTCACCAGCAGTCTGGGTTTAAACCTGAAAGCTAAGGGGAGGGTCAAGATGTTTTTATGTGGTGGATTTTAATGACATAAACTGCCTGTTGTGAGTTGGTCAGCCATATAAATCTGTTCAATAATGATAATAATGATAATAATAACAATAATAATAATAATAATAATCACACAAAAGATATATAATTCAGGTTTACCTCCTGTAAGGTGGCAGCACAGAGTTCCAGAGCAATGTACTGGAACTGGCGGTCCCTCTCTGTGCAAAAATAGCGGATTACATGAGGGTGTTCATCAGATTCACGCAGCAGCTGGACCTCCCGGTCAGCAAAGCTGAAACATTCGGGGAGAATTCTCTTCACGGCAACATCTCTGTTGTCAAACGTGCCCCTGTGGATATTCCAATATACAAGTGGGCAATGATTTAGCATTCACCCATGCAGACAGTTAAGAGAATACGGCGTTAAGAAGCTTACAACAGTATTTCAAAATATTTTTAATCTGGTTTAGAAAGAATATCCTAGGCTGTGGATACATTTATGGGAGCGGGGGACACTCTTTTGGCAGATCGAATCCCACCAGGTTCAAGGTTGACTCAGCCTTCCATCCTTCCGAGGTGGGTAAAATGAGGACCCAGATTGTTGGGGGCAACCAGCTGACTCTGTAAACCGCTTTGAGAGGGCTGTAAAGCACTATAAAGCGGTATATAAGTCTAAGTGCTATTGCTATTGCAAAGAGAGTAGTGTATTTTTCTAACCTGAAAACAAACAGTGACATGGGTAGCAGACAGGTACACTGTGCAAAGTTCCTAGTATAAAGTCGCAATGTAAAACTTTTTCTTGGTCTCTGGAAGAACCTTTCTGCTAAGGAAATATGATGGGAAAGGCAGCAAAAAAAAACCTGTCAGGGCTACAATAAACGGACAGTGATGCCACCTGAGTCCCTTCTAAGATTGAATAAACAGGAAAGGCAGATTGCATCATCCACATACAATTTCACAGCATGCCCAAAAAGCACAGACGATCAGAGCAACCGGGCGCATTTAGCAGCACTTTTCAAGTACCTGAAGGGGCATCATGAAAAAAAGATCAGGACCTGTGTGCCATCATTCATTTCAGAATGTACAAAATAGATCTAAGTTACAGGA